CTGTCCATGCTTGAGATTATGGCTATTTTAGCATGTTGGTGATTCATTTCGGGTATTGGGCATGATCTGAAATTGCAACTTTAGATCTAGGTTGATCTTGGTTCTTATAGTCATAAAGCTTCAGCCTTTAGCAAGATAATGCCTTTTCCTCACTTAGAACCTCTTCTTTAGCTTGATTTTGGCTCTTAGCATCTTGCATGTACGTAAAGTTTGCAACTTTACGTAGGAAGTATGCCCTAGGACCTTAAATCTGCAATATGGAGCTTTGGAGTGGCTTAAAAACATCTGAATGGAGAAGGGACTCAACGAGTTGCATGGCTAACTCGGCGAGTACGATGAAGATTAGCCTTGAGGGTTTCCGCGTGAACTCGGCGAGTCAGCGAGAAGACTCGACGAGTCAGTTAGGGTTATCCCAACAATTGGACACGCATGAACTCGAAGAGTTGCCTGGGAACTCGGCGAGTCAACTAGGATCTTCACGATTCCTCGAGTTCTGGAAGAACTCGACGAGTCAGGGAGTTGCACTCGATGAGTTTGGTCAACATGGATTGTTGACTTTTCCTTTGACCAAGGGTTGACCAACTTGACTTCTGTGGTTATTTTGGTAAAATGGGAATTTATGGAATTGGATCATTGATGGGTGTAGGTGTTGGTGTTGGAGCTGTATTTGGAGGAGGTTGATATTATCATTCCGAGCTACTTAAGAGGTGAGTTTTCCTCACTATACTAACAGGGTTCAAGGCACCAATGTCGAACTTTTTCGGATTTGTATCTTGGTTATTGCATGATATGCTTATTGATTTACATACTGGTATTTAGGATGGTGATATGCTTAGTGACCTGGTTAGGTAGGTATCCTGGTATATAGGATGATGCTATGTTAGTGACCGGTCAGGTCTGTATCCTGGTTATAGGATGTTGGTATGATTAGTGATCTGTTAGATTGGTTTGACTATTATTTATGTTGTGAGGGGTTTGGGCCTAATTTGGAAAATTGGGCCATAGTTGGGACTTGGTTGATTATTTGGCTTTTGGGCCTTCAGAGTGTGAGTTAGGCTTTGGTCTTGGACCAAGCTAGGTTAGGGGTGAAATGGTCTTTTCACCCCAAGTATGGACTTAGGATTATGCATTGAAACCCATATGTTCATTGGGGTTTTTTTTTTACGATTGATAGTTCATGGATTTGTCAGCCAACAGTTAGAGAATTATTCGCGGGACTTCAGCAGTGCGAGGTGAGTTTCTTATTGTATGAACAGGTCGAAGGCACCAATGCCGACCCATATATATATATATATATATATATATATATATATATATATATATATATATATGTTTATGTGTTCCGGACTACGGTCTGATGTCGGGTAGTGCCCGATGTACGTTGATATGTTTCCGGATTCTGATCCGATGCCGGGCAATGCCCGATGAATGTTTATATGCTTTAGAATTTTGGTCTGATGTTAGGCGGGGCCCGAGGAACGTTTATATGTTTATGTTATGTGATTATTTATGTGTATTTGTTGATATGTTTATATGTATACCGAGCTTTGCTCGATGTTGGGCAGGGACCAATGTCGGACACCATCCGATGTCGGGTGGGGCCCGAGGAACGTTTATATGTTTATGTTATGTGATTATTTATGTGTATTTTTGATATGTTTATATGTATACTAAGCTTTACTCAATGCCGAGCGGGGTCCGATGACGGGCGGGGCCCAATGTCGGACACCGTCCGATGCTGAGCGGAGCCCAATGAATATTTATATGTTTATGATATGTGATTATCTATGTGTATTTGTTGATATGTTTATATGTATACCGAGCTTTGCTCGATGCCGGGCGGGGCCTGATGTTGTATTTCGATCCGATGTCGGGCGGGGCCGATGCCGGACATTATCCGATGTCGGGCAGGTCCCGATGAAGCGGGTAGGGCCCATGATATGTTATTATGTGATTATATGTATGGTATGTGGTAGTTTAGGGTGACTCACTAAGCTTCGTGTTTACAGTTTTCAGTTTTGGTTTCAGGTACTTCCGATAGCAAGGGGAAGAACTCAAGATGACTTCATTGCACACACCACGATGTTTTAGCTTGGGATGTTACTCTGATATACATTTAACATATGTTTTGATATCAATATACTAATTTTGATGTTTTGAGATATTATGGTTCCTGTTTGATAAATGGTTTTTAGTAACTATGGTTTATTCAATGATTTAAAAATGAAATTTTTGGTCATGATTTTTGGGATGTTATATTAAACACCTTAATTCACTCTTGGATATTCCTATGACCAGCCTCCACCTCTCCAAACCCTAAAAAAAACCCTAATTTCCCTTTTTGTGTTCTGAGCTTAGAAGTGAACTTTGAGGGTATATTTGGTGATTTTTAAGGAAAAGGAACCCTTGGAAGTTGCATTGGTGTGACTAGAGCTTATGGATCCATAATCATCATCAACTTGGAAAGCTCTTTGAGGTATAAAGCTCTTAACTTGATGGTTCATTTTGTTAGATCTAGTTAGGGTTTGTTTTTGTGCTTTTTATGTTCATTTAAGTCATGCATGAGAGTATGAGCTACTCTAGAAGATAAGGATGATAGATCTTATCATTTTTTAGATCCTTTGTTCATAAAAATGCAATCTTGATGAGTTATATTGGACCATGCATGAGTTTGGGTGCTTATTATGGGTTTTATTGAGTATTGCGCTCCATTAAGGCATGCAAAGGAATAAAGTTGCCAACTTTACATGTTAAGACATCATTTAGGAACAGATCTAAGAATTAGACATAATGGCTTAATCGATTAAGCACTTAATGGTGATTTGGGTGGCTGTGGAGTACGTTGGGCGTACCCAACTCGTATGTCGCGTGTACTGGCCTTAGAAGGTGTACGTTATGCGTATGTCTGAGTACGTCGGGCGTACTCAACTGCCATTGACTTTTGTTTAGTTTTGGGTTTAGGGCCATATTTGGACTACTAGGGTTTTGGGTCTTGTTGGGCCACTAGTCCTTTTGACTTTGGGTTATTGTTAGGCTTTGGACCCATGATGGGCTTTAGGTGTCATCTAGGAATTTGGGCCATATTGGGGCTTTTGGAGCCATTGGGTTGGGCCATGGTTATTAGGCCAAGTGAGGAAGGGGTAAAATGGTCGTTTACCCTGGGAGTTGAACAAATGAATCAGATTCCTAGTTATAGTTTATGGACCAATTATTAATTAGGGTTTAATTTGATTGATTAGGGTGGGGATTATCCGGATCAGCAGTCCGAGCGTTTATCTGATTTTCAGCGGTTTAAGGTGAATCTCCTCACCATGCTTGACGGTTCGAAGACACCAAGGCCAACCCATGATTTATTATAATTAGGATGCTAGTTGGTTGTGTGACTTTTGCATGTGTAGTATGTGGTATGTATACCGGGCAGGGTCCAATGTCATGCGATGCCTGATGGGTGTATTGCATGCTATTTATCTTAGTGATTCTTACATGTGTTTATGTGTCTGTATTAGGGATGAGCATATGGACTGGGGAACTGGCCAGAACTGGTACCGGAACCGGAACCCGATGGAACCAAAAGGGCTGGGATCGGGACGTTATTTTTGTGGATTTTTGGAACCGGGAACCAGTAGGGACCGGAACCGATATAACCGGAACCGGTAGAACCGGCAAAAACCGAAACCATATGATGCTATTTTTCAAGGACCGGTTCCAACATTTGAAGATATGATAAGAACAGGTAGAACGTCGTGCCGGTTCGGTTCTTGATTTTGGCCGAAGCCGGTTCCCGGTTCGGGCCGGTTCCGACCGGTTCGGTCCCTTTGCTCATCCCTAGTCTGTATGAATGCCAACGGGGCCAGATGAATGTGATGGGCATGGCCCATCTCATGTTCTGACATATCTGTTCTGAGCGGGGCCCGATGGTTGCGGGGCATGATCGATTGTATGTTTGATATGTATGGTATGTGGTATTTTGGGGAACTCACTAAGCTTCATGCTTATAGTTTTCTGTTTATGTTTCAGGTACTTCTGGATCGAAAGGGAAGACCTCGGGGTGATCACATTGTGCACACACACACATACACCATGACTTCCGTTTTATATGACTCTGATGTATTGAGATGATTGATTGACTTACTATGATTTTCCTTTATGGTTTTATGAAAGCATTTTGGATGATGATTTTATTACTATTAAAATGTAATTTTTGATCTTAAATTTTGGGACGTTTCACAAATGATCTCTAAGCTCTTTCTCCATCTACCATTCATAAAAGACTAAAATGCAAATTTGGTCCATGTTGTTGCAAAAAAGTGTGGATATGGTCCAAAATCTTTACAACTTGCATAGATGGTCCAAAATCGAAAACATCTTGTGGTTTTGGTCTATGAGAAAGTTAAAATGACTACTTTTGCTTTTTAATTTTATTTTTACATTTTTTTACTATTATTATAATTCAAAAATAAAAAAGAAGTATCAAATCCCACCCTACCCCCACCCCTTTCTCTCTCTCTCTCTCTCTCTCTCTCTCTCTCTCTCTCCTAAACACATACATACATACATACATACACACACACACACACTCTCTCTCTCTCGCTCTCACTCGGTCTTAAAAAACCTAAATGACACCTTCCTCATCCTAATTTCATCATAAGCACCACACTCCTCCATATCCACCATCCCCACCTTCATCTTCTCTAGCGACCCACCCTTATAGCCACCTGAGGTTCAATGTTGTTCACAAGAAAAACTAGCAATTGGACTTCCTCAAACCACTTTACCAGGTTAATACCCCATCTATCTTTCCAATGTGTATCACCTCCTCCTCCATCTTCTTCTATATACACCTCTTCTCTATCGGAAAATCACACATGCTCACCGGAAACGCCTCCCACCTGCTACTTCGTGGATTTGGTTGCTTTAGAGTACACGACTAAAGAAAATCATCCTTTTACCCTTTGATTTTAGGTTGCATACCTCAATGATAAGATAATTTAGTGAGGAACATGAGAGATGATAATGAAGGAAGACAATCTGGTGGTGGATATGATATTGATGGTGGAAGATATGGTGGTTATGGAGTGGTAGGATGGTAGGATGGTAGGAAATGGTGATGGTGTAAGGTAACAAGACGAAGAACAAGAAAGTAGGTCAGAGATGGATAAATGGGGTATGAGCATTTTTTTCTGAACTCATCAAAACCAAAATCTATATAATTTGATGATATAGGTATACAATGGTGATTAACAATTGGGGATTTGATTTTGGTGGTAAGAGTGTGATAATGTTTTCTCCCTCTTTTTGTTGTGAAAAATTAAGAAACTCTCTCGATAGACTTTCAAATGGTGAACTTTCATTTGAGTTTTTTAGCATTGTAGGAAATTCGTGTGATTTATTGTGTTGTAGGTGAAGGGTCAGGTTTGATTTATATGTGAAGGTGGGAAAGAAGAAGATTGATAGATGTACAATGGAGGGTTGGATGAGAGAGAGAGAGGATAAATGGGGGAGGGGTGGGGGTTTGATACTTCTTTTTTATTTTTGAATTATAATAATAGTAAAAAAATATAAAAATAAAATTAAAATGGTTATTTTAACGTTTTCAAGAACCAAAAGTCCAAAACTATATAAAAAAAATTGATTTTGAACAAGTTCAATTTTTTTTTTGGGTATTATCCATATTTTTTTACTAACAATAATAGACGATTTAATTAGGGATGGAAAAAGAAACCGAACCCGATGGTGAAAACCGAAAACCGACATATTAGGGTCGGGTTTGGGGTCGGTTAATTGGGGTCGGGATCGGGTTTGATATGCTTTTAGAAAATTTTCGTGGGTTTGGTTACGGGGACGGTAAACAAAATACCCATCCCGATTGCTCAAAACCAAAACCAAAACCGAAACCCGTTACCTGAAACCGTTAATATGATTATATATATATATATATATATATATATATATATATATATATATATATATATATATATATATATATATAATCATTAGACTTAGTGATGCAAACATAAATTCATATCAAAAATAATTTTGATAATTTACAAAACTACTAAGAGCATACATATTTGTTCCGATACATAAGTGGTTACTAGTGGCAACAAAAACAATAAAGACACTAGCATTCATAAACCATAATATCACTATTACTCTAAGTAATATGAATAAAAAAATGTCAAAACACTAGCATTACAAATAAACACGAAGCTATCTCAAGAAATTATCTTTAAATCGTTCACAACAAAGAAGATAACTCAAAGAAATTAATATATACACACACACACACACACACACACACACACATATATATATATATATATATGTGTGTGTGTGTGTGTGTGTATATTAATTTCTTTGAGTTATCTTCTTTGTTGTGAACGATTTAAAGATAATTTCTTGAGATAGCTTCGTGTTTATTTGTAATGCTAGTGTTTTGACATTTTTTTATTCATATTACTTAGAGTAATAGTGATATTATGGTTTATGAATGCTAGTGTCTTTATTGTTTTTGTTGCCACTAGTAACCACTTATGTATCAGAACAAATATGTATGCTCTTAGTAGTTTTGTAAATTATCAAAATTATTTTGGATATGAATTTATGTTTGCATCACTAAGTCTAATGGTTTGTATTCTCATTTCATCAAAATTATTTTTAATTTGAATGTTAAACGGGGATCCCCGTTACCCCGTTGGGATACCCGCAGACCCGATAGTGTTTGGTAAACGGATACCCGTTGAGAATTGAGCCGGTGATGGGATCGATTTTCATATTCGGGGATGAGGACGGGATTACCAAAACCCGTCCCAAACCCGCCCCGTTGCCATCCCTATATTTAATCTTCATAAAAATATATAGACAATTTAGTCTTCATAAAAATGAAGGAGAAGAAAAACAAAAAATGTTTTATTCATGACTTTTCCAATTTGATAGTTTTAGTCCTTATATTTATATTTCATCATATTTTACCCTAAGTTGGACCAAACATAATATCTAACTCATATTTTAGTAATTCAACCTTATTTAGTTAAATAATTAGCATTTTAACCTTCTAATAACCTTGAAACTTTTAATTTTAACCCATTCATATTTATTTCATTTATTTTATATATTTCATTTATTTTATTTTTCAAAGATTTAGTTTTACCAAAAATGACAAGAATACTAGTTTATATACCTGTGTCTGATTTTGGTTGAGAAAAATTTAAATTCAATGAAGAAAAATAAAATTGTCATTTTATTTCATTAGACTATATCTTTAAAATAACCTCTTTTTTTTTATTGTACTCGTGCTCTATGAAGCATCTCATACTTGTACTCTACTACATCTCATACTTGTACTCTACCAATGACACAAAAATGCAAAAAGCAACGCGTCACAGTAAATACTTTCTCTACAAACACACGCAAACCCACTCATCTTATCCGTACAGCAACTGCATTAGATATTATATTCACGATAAATCAACAAAAATAGTCCTTCGACTTTGTATATCTTGCAAACTTCTTTTTTTATTGTGTATATTACATTTACAGTCCCTCAACAAAACTGAGTTAACGTTTTTGTCTATGAGCCTCACAATGTTGAACCATTTTCGTTAAGCATGCTTGTGATATATATATATATATATATGTGTGTTGTTAAGTCAAAGTGACTTCAAGAAGGATAAAGTGTATATAAGAAATTTTTGAAAAACATATTTTCAGAATAAACATTTAATAATCCACTTATAAATTTATAGTTAAAAGGGTCTTTGGCAAATCTTAAAAAATAAGCTTTTTTGACTTATTACCGGTTTTATACCGGTATAAGTTAAAAAAATGTTTGGATAAAAGTTTTTTTAAAAAAAACTTATAGTTGTTTGGAACATCCAATAAATCATTTTTTAATAAGTCATTTACCTCTTGTTCATAAAAAAAAACTCTTTATTTCACAATTTAAAGGAATTGACAAATATACCTTTAACTTATACCTACATCGACACAAAAACATACACTATAAGTTAATAAGCATATAAAGTTTTGACACCGAATAGTTTAGCCACATTTTTTTAAAAACTCCGTTTTGATACCTCTATAAGTTAATAGTCTATAAATTAAAAAGTTAAAAGCTAGTATTTTAAATAAGCTTTACAAAACACCCTCTAAATAAAGCACTTTATAACACTTATTAAAACTCAAAATTTACTCTACAAATTTTGTTATAATATACTCTAAAAATCATGCCAGTTTATAATATAGTCTAAAAATTTTGTTATCTAGCAATAACAACATATTTGTTCTTCAAATTCAATTATTTTAACTCTTAATATTATAAATAGAACTAGTTTTGTAACACATCTAAACACCCTCTACATTTCCAATTCCTACTACAAGACCTAGTACCCCGTCATTTACTTTGTCCTCCACTTTCTTTATGTAATCATAGCCATGCATATGTCTCCAGAGACAAAACTTAATATTTTGTAATGTTTTATTTTAACAGAGGAACTAAACTTAGATTCAATTTGATTATGTGGTTACAAAATCCGATTTTGACTATATATGCTTTTTATTTTTCCCCCCTATTTTGAGCTTCTTGTTAGTCTAATATAAATTATTTGTTAAAAAAATATATTTTACCATACTTTTGGAATGACCAGAGATGCTTTGATTATTGTATGATGCTTATTGCATTGTCATAACTATTAAGTTGTTCAGTAAATGCTTTTGTTGAACTTTTTACAATCAAATAGTTTAAGACAATCATGACTTATTTTGAGTTTTTTAGAGACCATTAATGTTTAAAATTTAGCTAGATAAAGACAAAGATAACTGCTACTATAACTGGATTGGAATCTTTACAACTATCCATAAAGCATATTTAAAGGGAGATGTAAAAGTTGTTCATTTGGAAATATGGTCCACAAAACTATTATTGTCATTTGGCAAGTTTTTCATCTCCCAACAAAATATGATATTATGATCTAACTTTATCAAGAGTTATTAGAGATATGCCACTCAACCTATAAATTGAGAGTTTAAGTATGTAAGAGTAGATTTAAGGTGTGTGTGAATTAGCTGTATTTGATAATTATTGTTAAATATAAGAAATAACAATGTATTTTTGATGATTTGTTTATTATAATGTTATATTTTTTTTTATTATGCAACTGAAATTTGAAAATTTTAACAAATTCTAGTTATATTATCTAAGCATAATGCAATTTTCATTGACATAACTTCATAGATTTTTGAAACTATAATGTAATGAGAAAAAAACACAATAGATCAACAATACAAAGAAGAAGAGATAAGATTGAAATCACAATGAAGAACAAATAGAATTTATATCTGTCTATCTTATTTACAACTTATTTTGAAAAATGATTAATTATCATTATTTTATGGATCTCACTTACATATTATGCAACATATATACATATATGCATTTTTTAAAGTATGATCTACTTGTTGCTATTGTAAATGAAGACAAACTTATAAAATAAAAGAGCATATAACGAAAATTTTTATATAAAGAACTTCTTAACAAGAATTGGTTAACAATGACAATGGAAAAACGAAAATGTTTAACAATTTGTAATCTAGCGACTGTAACATTCAAAATAAATAACTGAAGGGACAGATTTTGCATCTTAGTGTATAGTGTAGGGACTACATTTGTAATTCACTCTATTATTGAATCTTCGCTATACGACGTTAGTAACCGACGATCGCCGGTAAACGGATTCTCTTATCTGCTTGACATTACCGGCTATACCCGGTTTCACTTTATCTCTTTACCCCTTACCATCGTGTACAACTAATATATTGTCACGAAAACGCATTTTCAATCATATCGCCGGTACCGGAGTTACTCCCCCACCGTCTCCGATCTCTCTGTCGGAAACTTGCTCTCTCTCTATTGTAAGTACATCTGCACCTCTGCGCACGAGGATCTGATCATTATGTAGTTAATAAGTTAGTTTTTCATCGATCGGCTTTGCTATCTCGAACTTTAATCGTGATCCTAGCGTTTCAATCGTGTGTAAATATGTGATGCGATCTAGGTTTTTGACCTAGTTTGTGGAATCTTCGTTTTTTAGAGGGAGGAAGTTCAAAAACTTGGTTAGTTTTGTGTAATTTTTTAGTTTCAGTTGACTGAACTTGTTCGTTCTTCGATGAAGAATTCGTATGTCGGTTGTTTGTAATTGATTTGATCTATGGTTGCTCTCCGCAAGAAATCTACTCACCGATTATTTGACAGTTTATCTCTTAGAATTTTCTTCTTGTTGTGAATGATGAGACAACTGAAATAAGATCGACCTGATAATAAATGCTTACCTAACAGTGTTTCAGATTATCACCATCCGGCCTGGTCCCAACTTAGGGGTGTTGGTAAGCTATTGCTGTCATATGAGCTGAAAATAGATTTGGAATTTGACCTAATAATAGATTTCTGTCTAATACATGTAGATGTAATTGTAACCCCATGTACGAAGCTCTTTTCTCCCTCAGTCATGTGCGAATATAAAGTTAAAGGATGACCTTGAATTCAATAGACATTGATTTACAGATTATGTGAAGATAGATATGTATTGCTGTTTGTTATAATCGATTTATATTTGATGAAGAAAGTGGATTGTTTCATTCGTTTTCTGTGGTAGATGGCAGATAAAGAGGAAGGGGAGGAAACAGCCCCACGAGGAGCTGATTGGGAAGTCGTATCACTAACAGCATCAACATATGCAGCTGCTCCAAGCCCTGATGTGAAAGTCAAAGACCCTAAAGATGATGAAAAGAGTGAAGTAGTTGACACAGATAAAAGTGGAACTTCAGATGCATTGTTCATGTCTGGTCATTTTGTCTTCCCACCAAGTCAGCATGAGAATCTACCACTGGAACCTGAAAAAACAGAGATCGGTGATGATGATGATGATGGTGATGGTGATGTTTCAGAATCTATTAAAGAAGAAGGGGAGAAATCATCTGCTAAAGATGAAGACAACTGGAACATAAGTAAATTAACAGAGTCTTATGGGAAAAGATCAGATTTTGAAGATGCCACAACCTTGCCTGGTTTAGAAAAAGAGCAGAGTATTTACAATTCTGCCACGTTTCATTATGAACCAAACATGGATGATGAAGATAGAGTGTTGGTGGATTCTATTGAATCTTCTGATTCTTCATCAATTTCAGATGTTTTGAATGTTCCTAAACGAATGGAAGATGATGATGGATCTGGGGCTCCATATGCAACATGGTGGAAGAAACAAGCGGTTTCTTTGTACTCTCATGCAAAAGAGGCGAATACTTTTTGGTCCATTTTTATTTCTGCTGCAGTTATGGGGCTTGTGATTATTGGTCATCAATGGCAACAAGAAAGATGGCAAGTTTTGCATCATAAGTGGCATTCTGGGGTGTATGATGAGGTATACAATTGCTTTTTCTTGCTTACTTTTTTTTAGGCATCTTATCCTTATGTTTTTAGGTGTAAATTGTGATATGATAATCTGCAATACATAGGAATGTACATTCATTTATTTGTTTATTATAGCATCCTACTTCCATTTCTTCCAATTAGAGCATTTTACTTTGAAAAATCTAACCTAAAATGCATGAAAGTAGAGTAGTAGATATATAAATAATATTAGATTATTGTTGACATGACAGAAATTTGGGAGGATGTTGGGGCCTTTATCCCGTATTAAAGAATCAATAGTAGGTGGCAACAGGAGAGGATTCTCGATTAGAGGTAGCACCACAAGAGACCACTAAAAGCTATAGTTAAAAAACTGGAGGTGAATGATGATGACGAAAAAATGGAATGGAAGCAAATTTGGTTTGGGTCTTATAATCTCTATAAGAAAATCTGAAGAAACCAAAACAAGCGACAGTTGTTTGTTTATGTCATATTTAATATTTAATTTTTTTTTTTTTTTTATGTTTTTGGTGGGAATCTTGTTAATGATGTGTAAAGATATGATGATAACATTATAAATTTATAATCTTCGTGGTTTGGTCTAGTTTGCAGGTTTTGTAAATGATTTTTCATTTGGATTGTTGGCTATGATATATGTTTTTGTTGCGATTTTGGTCCATAATCTATTTAAAATGACAAATTTGCCTTGATTATTATTTTTGTTAATCTGATTTCGCTTGGTTTATTGGATTGGTTAAAGCAAAGTAAAATAAAATGAAAGGAGGTGGTTTCAACAAATCTCTTGGTTTTTACTTTGTAGGACTGGTAGAAGATTATATAGTGCATCTATTATAATCTATTGGTCTTTTTGTTTTATCTTTAAACAAAATTATTTTATTATAAATTAAATAGTTGATGAAAGACATCTTTCAGAAACCATTACCCCAAAAACTATGTTTATATCCACTAACTAATTAGATGATCACTACAACCAATCTAACGAACATCGTCTGTTATGTAAGTATGTTATATACATAACGAACATCGTTGTGGTCTAGCTAGTTATGAACCGCAAACATGAATACCACCTTAGGTGTCCGTTGTGGCTTGTGTTCGTGGTGATTTATGGTGCTAATGATGAATTACAACCAATTAAAATACATTTGCTCTTTGACTCAAAAGATCAGCTGTTTTTCCTACAAATATCATACATACCAACTTATTTTTACATCATTTTCTCTTCCTCTATTTACATATACAAATTTGTATTTTTTTTTTTTAAATCCAAAAAACATGGTTCTCAATTAAAATACCACACCAAACTATTAAAACCGCAGGCTCAATAATGTTTTTGCGTTGGAACAACTCATCGCAAATATCCGACCATGGAATCACCACAAGGTAGTTTTGTGAATTTGCTCCAAAGTGATTCTCCTATCCAACAAAATCAACTTTTTCAATAACCATATCAAGCTTTCTCACCCTATTAAAAATCCTTTCCACAATAATTCCAAAACTCTTTCGTATACCAACGACCTTTCCAACCACAATCTTCACAACCATATTTTTCACCCTCTAATTCCCTGGATTTTGTAGCCGAAAAGCAGCCTTCACCGCCATCCCAACCGAAAAAAGAAAGGAAAAAACTCATTAAAACCAATCATACAAATCAAATTGAAAGAGTGAATTGGACAAAAGAGAAAGAAGATAAGTTAACACAAGCATGAGGTTCGACTTCTCAAGACCCCATAGAAGGGGATAGTCAAACCTTTAATTGTTTTGGGGAAAAAATCCAAAACGCGTTCTACAGCTTAATGGGAAGTGAAAGTGAAAATCTCGATCAAATTAATTCGAAGTATTGTGATTTAAGGCTAAAATGTGGCAAATTACAACAATCTTAGCAATCTAACACAAAAGCGGGTCAAGTGATTTCGATGTGTTTAAAGCGGCCATTGATCAATATGAAAAAATGATAACCCGCAAACCTTTTCCATACCTGAAACTTTGGCTAAAGTTGAAGGATAATTCAAAAGGAAAGGAGCTAAAAGGGATTTCATAAACCTCTTCCGGTTCGAAATGTTCAAGAAACCCTGATGGAACTTCACAATAACTGGACAGCCGAATACACATCGACATCAATGATGATCTGGTAGATCTTGAAATGAGCAACCTCTTCGTCGGCCGATTGGAAGAAATAAAGCAAAGAAAGCAGCTTCATGATCTATCGTTATCGATCATTTTGTAGAAAATTTTGATTAATAAGTTCAATTACAAGAGAGCAAGGCAGTGATAATGAGTCGGATGTAACAAAAAATGTTAGAAGCACAAACTTCATTTCAAGAGGTACAAACAACGTTTTCAAACGAAAAACGATTTGAAAATATTGAAAATGAAAGCGGATGACCATGAGGGCGAAAATTTTGAGATTTTTCACGCACTAAAAGAATCTATTTGGGCAAAATATAGGAATAGTGAGGGAAATTATGTTTGGAATTTTTATGTTTTTTGGAAAATTTTATTTTCATGTTTTTTTTTTTTTTTTAATTAATGTATTTTTTTAAAATTAATGTAATGTGTTTTTTTATTGAACGAAAAAATAGTTTTAAGAAAAATCTACGTTTTTATTATAATTTTGATTTAAATTTAATTAAAAAATGATGTGTGGTGATGTTTTAGTAGTAAGTATACCATATGTTTAATCGTTGGATGTGATGACACCTATCATATTAATGGTTAATAATTTAATAATTGTTAAAGAACCAGACTTCACACTCCCTCCAATATCTTGAATAGCTAATTAACATAGGAGCCTTAGGTGCTTAGGGAGTTTACGCCCTCATTGTCATTGGCCAAACCAAGGATCCTAACTCCTCCTTTTACCCCTTAATTATTATCTAACTAATCCCTCACAAGTCTTTTCATGTACTTTTGACTATTTTCTCTTTGGACCTTATAAGTTCATCGTGTTATGTCATATGCACATAATTCTACACTCTTAACTTGCACAAAATAGTAACATTCTAGTGACGACATGTGCAAATGGGGGATATGGTTTTTCATGAATGAATGCATTCAGTATGAAAAGTTTGCTTAAGATTATTCATCATTTTGAACACGATATCGATGTTGAACATATGTCATGAATCATACCATCCTTCAAATGCTCAATGCTTATGTTTCTGGATCAAGATTAGGTTCGGGCTAAAATTAACAAATATCAATATATCTGAGCATGCCCATGAGTTTTGTTAGGTCCAAGTGTCAAACCAAACATTTCTTCCAAGTAAGGCTCACAAGTAGGGAAACCTAGTCCTTCAAGGTGGTCGAGATGACTTTTCATCTTTGGAAATTGAAACATGAGTGTCACTATATCCTTGTGAAGTTCTAACACAATAGATGCCAATTAAGTTGCACCACATAATATACAATTATAAGGTCCAATACAGAATATACAGTTACAAGGTAAACAAACCCAACATATAACATAACATGCATTTGTCTAAAATAACCCATCATGAACCTTGCAAATGTATAATATTCCATCTCTTATATAACAGCAGTACAACATGAAACATGATTTAATTTAAAGTCACTTTTTCCCATACATGGATTCCACCTTCCCATCATTCCCGCCAAGCAACTCATACTTATCTTTCCTCGTCAAATTCGTACACTCAAACCCCAACGTCGCCCCCAAAACCTTCTGAACATGATTCGCCACCTCAATCGACGACCGACCACCGCCCTTCACCGTCATCTCCTCCGGCAACCGTTCCAAAAACGTCACCTCATAAGTCGGCCTCGGGTTCATAAAATAAAAATACGGGTCCCAAAATTTCACCCCACGAACCGTCGTTCCATGAAACATATTCTGTTTCAAATTCATCGCCACCGGAACAATCCTATCGCTTAATTCCGCAAACAACGCGGAGAATCGTAGCAGGAAAGGCTCACGACACGTGGTCCCCTCCGGGCAGACGACTAAATCGCCTTTTTGGAGGAGCGATTTAATCCGAGCGGCGTCGGCTTCACGGTCGCGGGTCAGGGCGATGGCCGGGATCGGAGATAGGAAACGTGAAAGTTTGCTTACGCTGTAGGTGACGCAGAAGGGTTTTCGGCCGAGGGCGATGGCGATGATGATGGGGTCTAGGGCGGTGCGGTGGTTGCAGACGTAGAGGTTTCCTGGGGTTCCCGGAGATGGTGCTGGTGGTGGGTTGCCGCGGATTATGAGTTTGATTCCGAGCATGCCGTAGGTGTACCGGACTATTTTCTCCGGGAGTGGGAGGTTGAAGTAGACGCGGATTAGGGAGAGGATGAATCCGAATGGGAGCCAGATGTAGGTGATTAGGGCGGTCAGAGGTGTTGGACGTTGGACTAGGCGGCCGTCGTGGAAGATCAGCCGGGTTTTTAGACGGTCCGGTGGTAGTATTCCGGCGGTTTTGTCTTTGGGCACCATGTACCCCTCCTGTATTGTGGACACATAACTCGTTTAGAAAATTTAAAAAAAAAAATGACGTTTAATGTAAAAAATAAAATATATGAACGTTATTTTACTAAAAATAAAATAAAATAAATGTTTAATTAAAAGAATTAATGTATAAAATCTTTTTATGTTATTAATTATATTTTTTAAATCATATTAAATAATTTTTTCTTTAAATTTATAAAATTAGACACTACAAAGACTAACGAATAGATATGTGTGCACTAAAACATCTTAATAAAATTACATAATTTTTCATAGCGGGATGTAAATTAAATACATAATTTTTCACACCCTAAAACAAGATAGCATGGTTGTGGCAAAATGGGTATTATATTATATTTGCTATATTGTTTGTATTTCAATTCTTTATTTAATTTACAAATAATCTCCTTATAAGTGATGATACAAACATAGTATATAAGCTAAATTTTCGTGTTACATTTCTTTATGTAATTTTTTGTTGGTATCATATTTATTCTTTCTATGATTACTACTCGAATCGGCTTTCACTAATTCAAAGTCGGGTAAAAAATAATTTTTTTGGTTTATTAAATATGACAATTATATGTTAAAACCATCTAAACCAAGCTTAACAAGGAGCTAAGATATTAGATGAACCAGGTATCGATATTAGATAAGAAAAAAAAATCAACAAAGATAAAGGACCAATTCATAAGAGAAAAATTTATAGAAATGTTATAGTATTTTGAAAAAAGTTTTAATAAAATCCAAATTATATGACTTTTTAAATAGAACAGCTCAAGAAACCGATTAATTTATTCATTTTAACATTTTTTAACATGTTGAACACATCATTAACCAAATGGTTAACTTTCGCATAATAATTAAAGTTTTCTGCAAACTTCGTCAAAACTTTTATATAATGTATAAACATATTTTTTTATGTATTTATATCTATTTTTTACATATTGATGTATTTTTTAAAGTTTTTATATGTATATGTTTACGTATTTTTACATATTTTAAATGTATAAATGTATTTTGTTTACGTATTTATATGTACATTTAAGTATTTTACATATTTGTTATGTATTTTAATGTGTTATTTTTTACGTATTACGTACATATATGTACTTTTTCGTATATATGTATTT